GGTCTGTTCGACCATGGGTTCCGATAAGATAGGAGTCTTCACAGGATGTGTTATCACATTATCCTCTGGATTAGGTATCTCTACCTCTCCTTCCACGCCTTCTTCCAAACGTTCATTTTCTCCTTGTCTCCTACGTCTAGCCATTTTAAATGGTCCCACCGGGCGTGCCAAAAATATATGTTGGCTTTTTGGCTTTCGAAGGTTATTTTTGTAATTATGAGCGTGCCAGCAAGGATCAATCAGTCCTTACAGAATTGTAATTGTCAACCAATTATTCAGACGATTGTGTTATAGTTCTTTCAGCCTCAATGAAGAGGACTTTTACTGGTGGCTTACTGGTAACTTGATTTAAGAGAATTTAAGCATAAGAACAGTTAAATAAATTGAAGCATTTCATTAGTATGAAAAACTTACAATGATCTCAGCCTCGTAGAGATTTACAGCGGCAATATACTCGAAAACTACTCCTACAAATGAAGTGCAGTGCAGGAATTTAAAGTACAGAAATGTAAAGAACAGGAAATATAAAAACTGGAATATGTAAAGTAAGACTGGTTTTCTTTAGATCTGAGCCCCCCTTTTCTCTGAGGTCCTTCCTGCTATTTATACTCCCCAAAAATAACCATCGAACTGCACTTTAAACTGTCGAACTGCTCCTCTATAATCGCTGATCATGCTGCCTTATGAATAGCTCCACTACGCTTTCACTTGCAGTTAGGCTTCCCTCCTATATTTAAATTTGAATGTGAGTAACCGTTGAAGCCACGTCACTTTGCATCTCTTTGTTGATCCACTGTTACTCAGATCTTATAACAACCAATTTTAACTGCTACGTGTATGATCAGGATCGGAGACTTGACTGGTTTCCCTATATTGCCCTTACTTTGCCACACGTCGAATTGTCACTGGCTTGTACAAAATATGTAGCCAACAATATTCAAACTTACTTGACATATTTTCAAAAGAAAAATGTTAATCTCATAGATAAAATATTCATTTGGGTTTGAGATTGATAGATCTATTAGGAATAAGTCTTGTTCCATAAAATTCAATATTAAATATATTATATAAAAAAAAGCATATGCAAGTTTTTGCTTATCAATTCCCAATCATATATAAATAAAACTCTAAAAATTAACAAAACAAACAAAAATCTCAAATGAAAATGCAGTAATTCATACAACAGCAATCAAATATAGCATGCAATTACATTTTTTGGCAAGGATCCTCTGGATTGAAAGTGATGGAGTGATCGTGAAGTGAAATCATTTGGGAGTGACACGTGCGTGTCCTCTTACTTAAGGGCAAATGCTTCATTTGGGAAGTGGGTGTGGCTTTTTGAATTTTTGGCTATTTTGGTTTAGGGCTAAAAAGTTCGTTTGATTTGACTTTTTTAGCTTTTTTGACTTTTATGAGAGAAAAAATTGAATGATTATAGTTTGGATGTGACATTTTATCTTATTAGTTTTTTAACATATATATATATATTTTTGTGGCTAATTTAGTCAAAATCCAAAAAAGCCCACATGCCAAACGAAGGCTTAGTGGTCCAAGAGCATTGCTCCATACCACACAAATCATGACAGTTGTCATGTTATCTCCTCATACGAGACAAAAAGTGATGAGACTCACTATTTCAGCTAATAAAATGAATGTTGGAGCACTATTTGAATTTGTCTTTGGAGCAAACTATAATTTCTCCACTTAAGGAGTGAATGGTTGAGATTGAGTGACACCAAAACGATGAGCCGACTAATATCTTCACTGGGAAAGACATGGCAGAAGAGCCAAGTATTCAGGGCTTATAACTGTTTCTAGTCTAGGGTGGCTTTGGCTAGGTAGCCTAAGACCCAGGCTTCATTAGTACTAGAGTCTGTATGCGAATTTGGAGACTGATTGCTCGTTTGAACATCTATAAAAACGATCAGACCTCTTTTCCCTTACGCTGTGTTTGGTTAGGAGATTTAGGGAGGGATTTGGAAAGGAAAAGGGAAAGGGAAAGGGAAAGGAAAAGGGAACAAGTGTGTGAAATTAGGTGAAATGTAAGTATGTTTTTATTCATATTGCACTTACCTTTTTCATTTTTCTTTCCAAATCTCTCGTCAAATCCCCTAACCAAACACAGCATTAAGGTAGAATGAATGTAAAGACAAGAAGCCGCTTGCTGGAGTCCTAGGGGAGAGTTTTTTTTATAGAACCTTCTCTCGGTACAAGCTGTCAAACAAGTCCCTTACGCTGTGTTTAGTTAGGGGATTTGGGAAAGGATTTGGAAAGAAAAATGAAAAAAGAAGGTGAATGTGAATAAAATATACTTATATTTCACATAGTTTCATATACTTTTTTCCTTTTATTTTTTAAATCTCTTCCCAAATCTCCCAACTAAACACAGTACGAATAGAAGAACCCAGATCATCTTATAGTGTAAGGAAAGGACATCTCATTTGTTGAAGAAAAACCAGAAAACAGAAAAAGTCTTTTCAAAAAAAAAAATCTTTTCTTTTTAATGTGTTACATCATTTTTGCTTTTTCACATATCAATGCAAATTTGAAAATCTAACTTCTGGTTTAGATTTTTTTCCGTTATTTGCTATTTTTCAGTAGCCAAAACAGGGCTTCTCTTCTTCTTCTTCTTCTTCTTCTTCATGTTTCTCTCTCTCTTTGTCTCTTTCTCTGTCTCTCTCTCTCTCTAATTTCTTGATTTGAAGAAAAAAAAAATTTCTTTTTTGTCTTCACTAAAACGACATTGTGTTGGTGCCACTCAATTTTAGCCGTTCACCTTTTAAGTGGGACACATTTCACTCCCAAACAATTTTACTTCATGATCACTCCACCACTTTCATTATAGAGGACCGGAACATCATAGTTTAGCTTAACAATCAAAAAATATTACAAAAAGGTAATCATTCTCTTTATTTTTTTAAAATAATTTTGTAAAAAAATAAGAAAGTGTTTGGAATGATCTAAATATACTTTTTGATTTTTTACAAAAAGATGTGTATAAAAATAAATAAATAAGTAATGTGACCTCAAGGCTTCTTCCACTTTAATTATTATTATTATTATTATTATAGATATTATTTTATTTGTTTTTGCTTTACAAAACCTGTCTATAAATTGAGGCCGCAAGGCTTCAAAGCAGCGAAGGATTTATAGAGGCCTCAAGGCTTCAAAGAGGCGAAGGATTGTCCAAAACCATATCCATTTGTGTTGTTTAAATGTGCTGCTCAAAAGTAGTAGTAGTAGTTTTATATTTATGTGGAATTAAATTTTTTTTTTGTTTTGTTTTTAGGATTGAAATGAAGTTCTAATCAAATAATTAGAATAATTTATATTTAATTTTATAGAATATTAATTGATTTGGGTACTGTTATATATAATTTTAGATTTTTACGTAAATAATATTTTTATCAAATTATATGTTAACTAGTCATGAATACATGTCATATAATTGTTTTCAATCCTTGCATGTTAAAATTGTTAGATGCGTCATGCTTAGTAAAATGAGTTGTGCATCATCCGCAATTTAATGGTAGTTTAGTGATGATGATCCGTGCTAAACTAAGATAGTTCATGATTTTCTGATTTTAAAACACAGATCTTTTTAAATGGTGTATCTCGACCAAGGTATATTTTAGTATCTAATTCAATGATTTTCTACAATTTAAATATAATGACTCCTAATTATAAGGGTAGTAGTGGATTCAAAACCTTAAGAATTTTCTCATTTTATTGCACATCATTTCCTGTTCAAGCCACGAACAAATTAGTCTCTAAGTTAGAAGCAACTTGTCATAATCTCTGTGATTCGACATCCATTCTTAACTGCTATACTTCAGAGTAATGGTTATCTAGTTTCTAATTAGTATATTTTGGTATGCAAACGACCTACCAGCCTTAATTATAATTTAATTGTAACTTTTGAATGCATTTTGGATATTTACACATCAAAAACACCATATGATAACTTATTTAATCATACGGGTTCAATTTTTTTTTTTAAAAACTAATTATGAAAAATTGCACCATATAGAATTATAATTTATTTTAAATCATTTAAACTAATAATCTATAAAACTATAATTATAAAAGTTAATTTTGAAAAACTATGTGATTCGTGATTCGTAATAGTTTTAATTGCAACAATTCCCAAACAGCCAAAACTAACAATCTAAATAATCTAATACGTGCAAAAGTGATTTAGATTGTTGCTTCACAGATAATAAATTGACGCAAATGATTTTTACGTGAAAAAATCACAATTGGAGCAAATCCAATTCTGAAAAAAAATACGGACGAAATGCCACTAATCAATCCACTATGAAGAAAGAAAGAACACAAATTTACCGAACAATTTACCCAAACTCTGTAAAGTTGTCTTCAACAATCTGTGTCTCTTCCACCAAAGCCTTCATCTCAATAAACGACCATGAGCAGCTTTGAACTCCTTCAAAGACTCCATGCTCAAATCTTTGGAATCCACCGAAGAAGAACACTCTCGTGTTGAACAATCAAACAATCCTTTGATGTATACTTATCAAACCATCAGTTAAACTCAAACAAACATCGAATAAACTAGCAAAGATACTCCAGAAGAAAACCCTAAAACCCAAAAAGAAGATCTGGAAGCCGTATCCTAAAAACGGACTTGACCACAGATTTATATCAGTCAGATTCGCGATCACCGCTTGAGCACAGGAATGGTTGCTCAAGCGGTTTGAGTTAAACACGTGTTTCTGAACAAGGATCTACCCTTAAGCGATGGAAAATCGCTCGAGCGTAAAAACACAACTCCCAGTACTTTTGCAGAGAAGCAAAACTTCTGAGAGTGTTAAATTTTCGCTCGAGCGATCAAGCCAAAAAATAAAGAAAAATTACAACTTTCAAAACCAAGTTTGTTCGCAGAATTGGCAACACGTAGAGACCTAACAAATTTATAAAGTGATACCAAACAGACATTGTATGTTAGGCAAACTATTAAGCAGATTCTTTGGAAAAGAAGATAATTAAGCATTGGATTTGCTATAACCTGAAATTGTTTACATGCAACATAAGCTTATACAATTCAAGGTAAACAACAAATGTAGCTCCAAGTTCAAAATATCGAAAGAGATTTTCTTTTTCTTTTTCTTTCCTTTTTCTTTTTGTTGAAGAATTGGGCTATAAATCTCATTTCTTAATTTGGTGACGGTTCGTTTAATTTAATGATATAAAAGACTACTAATTCATCAATAGCAGTATATCAACATTCACTTTAATCCATCATCTGTTGAAGATTTTCCATCAAATATCCTCTCTCTTGCTTGAGTTGCCTGCAACATGAAAAATTTCTCCAATGAAATCCTACTAAAATGGATGAAGAAGCAAAAACACATTGAATATCGAATTCGGATCCTCTTCATTACATAATCAACAATTGTGAAAAAAACAATTTCAGCAAATTAATATTTTAAACTTAAAACAACTAAATATATATGTTAAAACTCATGATAATTTAAAAAACCTTGAATTTTAAATTTTGATTATGTCTGCAACCTCATGCTTTAAAATGAAGATTTCCATTTCGAACTAGTAATGAAATGGATCTTGATCCTCCAACCAAGATCCTATAAAAGATGCCATGCTCAAAAGTACAAACACTTCTAAAAATGTCATAGGCATTGACACTTGTTGAATACTTTTCAAGACATTTCAGACACCATTTTCTCCAACCTCGCTCTGCCCTTGCATCCCTCCCCCGCCCAATACAGATTTTCTCCGCCTCAGTGAGGAAGTGGGTAGGGGGCAAATTGTGTTTCCCCCGCCCCTGCCTCATTTATATTTACTAAATATATTTATATGTTTATTATATATATCATTTAATTTTGTTTTTGTTTATGATAAAATTAAAACTCAAAATATTACACTTTGTTTTCATTTTCACTCCTTTTTTTTTTCTTTTTCTCATCTTACATCTTGTGACTTTCATTAATTATAAATCACTATCTCTAACATATTATATTATTTTTTAAAAAAATATTAATATTTCTATTTTTTAAGTTACAAAATTAACCTGCTCCCGTCCCATTCCCGCCCTACCCCCATTACCAACCCGATTTGCCTCGCCTCTGGTACGATATGAGACGAGGGAAGGAGACGACAAACTCGTCCCGTGGTCATCTCTATCCACACATGCTATATTATTATTATTCCAAACACACTTTGGATAGTGTACATGTGTGCATCACTTACACACGCACCAAATACATTACAAGTTTGTAGAAAATAACTTAAGATCAATAATAAAAGAAAAACAAAATAAGGTTTTATCCTACTAGGTTTATAGCACCTACTAGGTTTTGTTCTTTATTGATGTTTGATGTAAGGTTTTATCCTTGATTCTTATTCGATAAAGTTCTTTTGCCGATCAAAAAAAGAAAAACAAAATAAGTTCATACTTATTAATCCCTCCTTTACACTTTAAAAATTAGTCTTATTTTGTATTTTTGTATTATGTTTAAATGAAATTTTCATATAAATGGTGTAAATAAACTCAAAAAATTATACATTTTGTGTGTGTCCCTCATATGTTTTGTCCCTTTTCTTTTCATTTTTTAAATTGTCATGTCAATGTACCCTCATGTCCCGTGTCTAAGTTTTTGAGTTGTTACTGTTATGGGTTTTGGGTCTAATCCTCTTATCCAATTCACAATAGCTACTGATACATTCCATTGCTAAAAGAAAAGAGGAAAGGGAAAGAAAATGTGAAACTCTGCAAATAGAAATTAAATTGTAACACCCCAAATTTTCTATCATAATTTCCTCAATTTTCCTTTCAATGGTGTGATAGATTCAAATGGATTTTCAGGTTAGAGCAAACAAAAAGCTTCAAGAGGTAAAAGAGAGAAATTTGACCTGTTTATCCCAATTTGTACTTCTTGTTATTATAGCCATCATGATTGCTTGAACAAAAGCACCAGCTTGTATTCCAATCCACAAGCCTTTTCCTCTTAACTGTACCCAAAAAGCCAGTACGGCAGCAATAGGAATTCCACAAAGATAAAATGCCCCAAGGTTGACATATGCCCCTATATGTTGCCACCCACACCCCCTAGCAACACCTGCTTAAAAAAATATTTAAAAAAAATAACAATTAGAATGAACCGAGCTATTTACAAGCTTGGCTCAACTTTGCTCAATTCATTAAGTAAATAAATGAACATGAGTCGAACTTTTAGGCTTGTTTAATAAATGACCCAAGCTTGAGTTCGAATAAACTCGACTTGTTTATTACTCGCTCCGTCCCAAATTGTTTGTTCGGCAAATAAATTAAAACTTATAAATAATGTATTTTTGTATCGAAAGTTTTAAATTTTTTTTTTTCATTAATTGAAAGATCTCATTTAGTACTTTTAATTTGTGGAAAAAGGTTGACACAAAAATATATTATTTTCAAGTTAGCCGAACAAAGAATTTGGGATGAAGATAGTATTTATTTAAATAATCAAGTAATTATTTATATATAAAATAATCTAAAAATATATTATTTATATATTTAAATGATGTAAATAGTAGGCAAAAAAAATTTTCATTGAGCTTTGAGCTGAGCTTGAGCTCGATGTAAACAAACGCAAGCTTGGCTCAACTCATTTATACTCTTAAATATGACATGATTTCATTTTTCAAAATTTCAAATATATACCAAACATTGATAGGGGGAAAAAATATAACCTGAGAGGACTCCTTGTACGCTATCCATGATAACCGTTAAGCAAACCAGAGGAGCCATGGCCGTGAAATAATCCACAACTTCTTTCTCGTTGCTGAAGGTGTAGCCAAAGACGCGCCTACAGGCAAAGAGGGTTGCACTCACTATTGTAGTCTCTGCGACTGCAAGGAACATCATGGCAAATACAGCTACACGAGCCCCTTGTGGATTCCCAGCTCCTAATTCATTTGAAACTCTAGTGCTAAAAAAATCAAAGAAATAAAGAGCAGTTACATAGACATCTATGAAATACCGACACTTCAAAATAAGTGTCATATCTGTGTCGGACATAGACACTTCGGGGACACGAGTACATGGCGAGGACAATTAATTTATTTTTAGGTAACACATAAGAGAGACTTCGGAGACATCCTAAGAACATGTCAATTTGTCTCTTTTCTCATTTTCTTTGGTGCTTTTGATTAATATTGAATGTTATTATTTTTTTCTTAGATTTAAATACTTTATAAATCATTCATAATAAAAGATATAAACGATATAAGTGTTAATTTATTTATTTTTAAAAATAAAATATAGAATTAGAGTCAATTTTTGTTAATATTGATTATTTGTGAATGTAATATTACTCTAAATAGTAAATGAAAATATATGAAAACATATTTTATTGTTGTGTTTTTGCTATGTCCATGTTCTCATTTTTTTTTCCGTGTCCTATATCTACATTTATGTTCGCGTCTATGTCTGTGTCCGTGTCTGTGTTTGTTTCCGTATTCGTATCTATATCCATATTCGTGCCTGTGTTCATATCCATACATCGTAGATAGACATAATTGTACATAATTACATGTATAACAACAACAAAAAAAAAAAGCAGTCACTTGCAACATATTAAATGAACAAACCTCACGGCAGCACCAAATCCATAGGGTATTGCATAGAGTGTTGCAACGGTATTGAGACTGCTCATAAAAACAACCAAAATAAATAGTAAATAAATAAATTGTTGGAGTTGTTATTGTAACGTAAATTTCAGAACATAAACCTTACACTTTGGATCATTTACCATGTGTATTATCAAGAAATCAAGACAAAATGACATACCTGAATCCATTGATGAACGGTTAAACGGAAGCGTGATTATCAATGAACTCTTTGTTATTGATTATGTTATTGCCTTCTAATCCTTTCCCCTTTCGTGCCTTATGTTTCTCCTTGAGAGGATTTAGAAAGAAAAATGGCAGTGTTCTTATTTTTCCACTTGGGAAGGAATAGGGACATAACCTTTTAAAGGTTGTAATTGGTTTTCAAAACTGAAAGATTGTGGAAGTTCAAAAGGAATGAAAACCAACTTTAACCATTATTGGTTTTAATTTCTATTTATTGGTTTTCAAAACTGAAAGGTTGTGAAAGTTCAAAAGGAATGAAAACCAACTTTAACCAATATGTTTTAATTTCTATTTCTGCCCCTCATAGAAATAGAAATTATACAACTAGTATCTACACATTAGGTCCATAACACATATACCCTTAAACCAAATTAGTTTCAACCATGGCC